TTTATTAAAATTTATTAAAAGTATGATTTTTAATTCCTATCAAACGGGTGCAAAGTAAAGAAAGTAACACTACAGGTATAAGGAAATTTTCACAAAAACTTTATAGGGTTTCACATGGCGCAGACTTATTGATGGATGACCAAAAAAAAAATTGTCTGCAAATTAGATGCTACTGTGGAGGTTCTGTGAAAGAACCCCTGTATTTAGGGAAATTTACAAGTAAATATTAGGGACAAGATTGCAACGTGGTTCGGGTAGGAAAACTTAAGAGTATGTCTGGTAGATATTTTAATCTAATTAAAATCAAATTTTTTATCGTTATTTTATTATTTCAAACGTCATTTTTGAATTTTTCTCTCACAAATAGAATCCGCTTTATTTTTAAGGGTCAAAAAATCAATTATCAAAATTCCTACCAAACAAGCAATAAGGTTATGTTTGATAGCCAAAGTTTTCCATGGAATTTGGAAAATCAAATTCATTTTTCAACTTTTGTAGTGTTTGATAGGATTTATTTTCCATGGAAAACCTTTTCTAACTTCGGGTGCCACCTAGACATTTTTCTATGTAATTGAGGAAAATGAATTTCTCTGTTACCATAACGATTTTATTTCTTAATTTTTTTACAATGGAAACAAATTTTAATAATTATTGTAAAAAAAAATATTTTTCTTTAATTGACAATTTTCATGTAAAACAAAGTCAAACGAATACCAAAAGATAGATGATTTTCTTGATTTTTTTTTGCAATGGAAATAAATTATATCTCCAATATCAATAAATTTTATCCCTTTAATTGAAAATTTTCATGTAAAATAAAGTCAAATGAACATAAAAAAAATATTTTATTTCAACATTTTTCATATGAAAAATTATATCAATCAAACATAATAAATTGACAATTATCAGAAAAACAATTTAATTCTCTGAAATTCGTTTTCTTTTCACCCAAATTCTATCTTTGTAATCAAACAGACCTTTAAGAGATCCGAAGAGATTTGAATGGATTAATGAGTTCACCCAATTTTGCGAAAATGTCTAATTTGGATTACTTAACTTTAATTCATCTCAATTAATTTTACTTTAAGCATAAATTGATAAAATAGTTATTACAATTTCCCAATCTCAATTGCTACTTCGCTAATTGCATAAATATATTTTAATATTATTTTCCCAAATTTTAAATGTCAAAATATCCCATCTTTCTCGCGTTTTTGAACTAAAATCGCGAGACATGATCGTCTGAGTACTGCATAGTCGTGCCTCTCCCACGACGATCCATTCGCCAGGCACACCGGTGCACGTGCTCCAAGCGAAGTCGCGTTAAACGCCCGCCTTTCAAATTCAATCCTTGCTCAGAA